ACGACACATCCTGTCCTCCTTCCTCTCACCTGCCTATCTTTTTTTTCGCACGTTTTTATCCGTTTTTTGAACATTATAGAAAAATTTGTCTAGAAAAATCGGTCTCGGTCCTTGTCCAAGTACTCGCTCGTTCAAGTATTGGAACACGACGCTACTCTTTCTCTCTCTCTCTATATATATATAATATATATTTATATATATAATATGTATATATCAATATATATTTTTAGTTATCAATTGATTTAGGTGAATTGGTACCTAGGTAAGTTTTGCTACACAATTATATCGATCGATTAGTGGAGCGTGTGCGTGTGTGTGTGTTTATGTACGTGTGTATATGCGAGTATGTGGCCGCGCACACGAGCGCCTGTTTGACGACCGTGCTCCGTGCTCGCGAAGTGTGTGATTTGACAAAAATTTTCGCCTAATATATGAGCCGGCCTCGCGCGCACACACGCGTGATTTCTACACGCGCACGGCCACGCGCGCGAGCACGCCGGCGTTTTAATTTATATTAATATACATATATATATATATAAATTTGTCCGCGATAACAACACGGATATGCCCGATCGCGGCCCGCGTTTTAATTTATTTACTGCCCGCGTGTGCCACGATATATTTCACTTTCTCTCTTTCTGTCTCTCTTTCACTCACTCTCGCTCTTTCTCTTTCTCTCTCTCTCTCTCTCTCTCTCTCTCTCTCTTTCTCTTCCTCTCGCTTTCGCTTGATTTACAAGAACGGTGACTCGTATGTAAAATTGCACTAACTAATGCTTGCACTCCTCTCTCTCGTCATGTCCCACCCCCTTTCTCGCGCCTCTCCTCTAAGTTTGTTTCATTCACGTGTGGTCTCTGTTTTTTTTTCTCCCGCCGATCCTTTCCTCTCGATCGAAACAGTTCCGGGCTTCCGTTAAATGCGGTAAGTAAAAAATCGATCGTGTCTATTTAGAATATTGCGAGAGATAGCAATGGATAGAAATTCAACATACTCGCTCTACTAACTAATTTATGTGTATAATTATATACTAGGGTTTGCCCACCTCCTTCTCCGCCCCAAAAGCCTTTGGTCGCGCAGGCGGCGACTCGAGGTCCTTTCCACATTCCCATGTCTTATTTGTCTCCTATTTTATCTAAAATTTCGCCCGCGTTTTGATCAGATTCGGATCCAATCGTACTCCAACTCTTAATCGAGAGCGCGCGCGAGTCAAAGAGGGCCGGCGACGAGAAGGTTCTTCTTCCCCCGTTCTATTATATTGAATTTATTAATATTCTTTTCTCCCTTCACCACACCACACACGCGACTCTCGTCCGCATCGAACGCACGCGTGTCTTCGCGGGCCGAACGGTGTGTCTCAGACGAAGGGACGGAGGGTCGTCGTTGAACGTGGCCGCCATTCTTTACTGCGTCTTCCATCAGACAGCACCCGTCTAATAATAACGGATTCCCTCCCTGCAGTGCTCTAATAAACGCCGCCTACCATCTCTACACGCGGCGAGACAAGATATATCATATATATATATATATATATGATATATACAAAAGGAGTACCAAAAAAATAAATATATATGTGTATATATAGATGTGTGTGAGGATTATTTCCTTTTGTTTCTTCATTAGATCTGTACGCAAATATATGTATCGCGAATCGTCGGTCGCGTAATCGCCTGTATGCTGTGTGTATACGTGTGTTTGTTGTGTCGCGGATTGTACAAAGTCCGATACGTGTGTGCAGAAGAAGAGTATCGCGAGAGAGACTCGCCATGCGAGGTTTAAACTACGTTTACCGATTCCTGCTGCTGCTGCTGCTACGTACAGAATGTGGCTTTTTTTTGTCATCTACGAAGCGGAACACACAACGTTGCATACTAATTCCGAGCGCGACGCTTCCCAGCCCCACGACCTCTCGGCCGTTTCGCGAAGGAACGACCCGGCTATTGTCGGAAGTATTGTGAAGAGACACGCCTTTTTTGCATAACAAAAGGGTCACCGGGAGGTGACGAACGTCCGGTATTAGCGCTAAGCCCGCTTCCTCTACTACTGTGGGTTAGTTATCAAAAGTATCCTATGTTATAATGTACCGAGGGATATTCTCAAGTGAGAGACGAATGACGGTACGGGAAGTTGCTTCCGGTAAAACGCGTCAAAAAGTCGTCGATTAAATCTCGCCGGGATCGCCGCCGGATTCGCTAAAAGAGCGCGCGGTAGGAAGCGTCACGCTTAAAATTTACGGAGGTCCTGCGATCTGCCAAACTAAGACTCTCTATACTGAACCCTTCGAGAATAGAAATCCTGCGCGTTTCGGCGAAAAGTGAGCTCTTTTCTCCTTCCTCCCCCTTTTCCTTTTTTCCCCTTTTATTTGAACTACGGCGATTGCGTTTGATTATATACACCCAGCGAAGAAGACCGTTTCGTTTTGAAGGAATTAAGAAAAAACGTGCACACTCGCGGTCGCGATTAATAAACGCCAGTTAATCGATTAATCGGTTAGAGAAGAGGGATCGGTATGTATGTACAGGAGCGGACAATATGCGGCATTCTCTATATGTGTATATATATATATATATATATATATATACACACACATATAGAGAATATTTATATATATATATAAATACATTATATATATATATATATAGTA